ATTTGATCTATCAAATATGCCTCCCGGTCCAATATGGTCTTTGATTCGGCGAGCAAGCGTTTTTTATCATCCAAAAGTTTATTCTTAGTCTGCCTCCCTGCTGCGTGGTCCGATAATTCCGGTGATTGTAACACTGCTAACACACACAGGAACATAGAGCCTTGGGGTTTCTCTTAGCGGTGAAAAGGAGACGGGGTTATCGGAATGAAGACACACAGATAGCAGCACAACTGCTTGTAAACAATACCATCCATATAGCAAAAGATTGTTGCTCCTCTAATACCATGTACGTAGGCATGTTGTGGGTGTTTGTAGACGAATAATTCACTTTCTTTCACGGATAACCTAAGGCAGGTGAGAATGAGATTATTTTGTGAGATGATAAACTGATTGTATATCTATCGCAGCACTCTCAAGGCTATAGTGAAATAAATATAGGGGATTGATATAGGGACACCTGTAATCCGACACCCCTCTACTAGCTGTGCCAAGCTGACCAACACCAGGTCCCCCGGAAGGTTGTTGGGTGCCTGGCACGGCTATAAACTAGAATTATATGGTGGTGGCAGAAATTATGGCAGAATCTAGTATCGCACCCAATTGAGAAGGCGGTAGTTATTTTGCCTGAAAAGTTAGGCAGAGAGGTGTCCCATTACTGAAAGGGGTGTCGGAGTACAGGGGGTGTCCCTATACCAATCCCCTAAATATACAATAGTTTTACTCTTAATTATTCATTCACTTCCGCTTCGATGAACTCGAAGTGGGAGGATTACCCCCAATCCGCTTGAATTTCCTCGGATCTAGAACCTCATTAGACAAGTGGACTCTTAGGAACTTTGAATGAATGACATACCTTTCCGACTCATCAGAGCCCGATTTCTCGTTCCTTTTCCACCCTCCCAGAATCCACTACCTGCCTTTCCAATCAGGACCGCTTTGCAAATACCGCAGTTCTCGGGTCTATAGATTTGCTCGCGTGAGCAGTAGCCACATATCATGCGATTTGCGTGTTCGTTCGGGTGGTCGGTTTCCGCGTCGTGGCATCTAGATAAATCAATAAGCACATGAAGAGATATGTGGAGATATACAGCGGGTAATCATACTTGTCGCAAGGAAAGACCTTTGAGCAGCAGCTGAATCTGTAAGGGGTCAGTATAAGCTCTTCGCCGAGTGCTATCAACTCATCTATCGCGGATCACATACCTGAACCAGCGTTGACTCTTGGCATAATGCTGGCAACGACCGCGTCGCGGAAGTTCTTGTCCGGCGACAATACCAAGGACTTCCTGGGGCTGGGATAATTGTTAGATTTTATCGTGATAATGGGCTGTAGATTGAACGAACCTTTCTTTTGGCAGGGAGGCCTCCACGAGAAGTGACTAGATGATATAGTAATGAGTAAAAGTGTCTGTGTAGAGTTCGGTATATCAAGCTTACTTGCGGCACTTCCCACGAGAAGGAATTTGACCTCCGGGATCTTGAAAACTAAATTTCGGGTATGTTAGTAGTCAAACAACAGACACTGTGTATTAGAACCTACCCATTTTGCGATGGCACTGGCGGCATATACCCATGGCACTCTCGCCGCGAACTGCAGGTATACCTGGTGCCGGATGGGGAGTTGAGCACTCGGAGCATGTTGGGATGAAGTCGCTATAACAAGACGAGTCAACAAATGGCACTTTACTGGTATGTATGAGTGAACCAACCTAAGAAGCATGTCCCCAATCGTGCAGCCGCCCAATTCAAGGTAGCCAGCACGATTAGCATGAGAGTGCATCAACTGTTTCCGAAACGCTGCACACAAGTCAGTACCATTCCAGAAAAAAGAACGAGACTAAGTGTTTACTCACCGACACTCATATTATTAGCGCATTTCCGGCACGACTCCATTTTCGGCATATGGCCCTTCTCATCGGTAATTTGTGGTACGTTCTTGATGTCGACCGCCACCTTACATCTCTCACATTTAACTGTGATGTTGAGGTTCATGAGTTCCAGCAGCTCTATCCCGTAGAGCTCTAAGAAGGGGAAGGAAAGTGCAACGCCTCGTCCGGGCGCGTTGTTGTCCACTGATGCGGGGACGGGCGCACCACCTTCTTCATCTTCCTCTTCGTCTGAATACTCGTCTTCCTCGTAACTAGACTCGCCTGATGTCCCCTCGGCGCCACTGGTGGGATTCGGAACCGACCATTCAGGTGGGCGTGGAATGACAACAAGATGTGGCCTGTCTTCATTATCTTGAGCTGAGGATGCGGCAGGTGCTTTGGTAGGCTCCTCCACAACCTCTTCCTCTTCCTCTTCAACAGTGGAAGGTACGGCTTCAGTGGGCTCCTCCTTTGGCAAGGGCGTTTCAGCAAATTTATGGATATTGCTTGCCAGGTAGTTGACCTGAGATACCAGACTCAACTGTGAAGTCTGTGCTACCCACTGAGTGAATCCCACTTCCGTGGCTTTCACATCGGGGCCTTCGACTCCCTGCAACTTGATCGAGCTTTGCTCGAGCGGGTAGAGCTGTGGCACAATCAATTTCACAATCTTGAGTGCTTGGAGTGCTCGCGGCAGGCGATCCTTCTTGGTTGGCTGGATGGGAATAACATAAGTCCTGCCATCTTGTAGCTTTTGGTACATCGGCAATCTTCCAAGGCGCGCCTCGAGCTGTTTCGTCTCGGTCGCCCGTCTCTTCTCAGCTGTAGCTTTTGCTTCGGCTGTGTGCCTAGGTGCTACAGTTCGTGCTTGTGGTGCTGGCTTAGCAGCAGCATTTTGCGTTTTAATATGACCTTGAGACGAGCTCGGCTGGTTTAAAGCCTTCTCCGGGGCCTTGGTGGGTTCTTTAGTTGTGGATCCATCACCAACGTTGGAAAAGAACTTCAGCGTTGGCCCACGCTCCAGGGTGGTTAGCAATGATTCGAGCTTTTTGTCTAGACTGTTCAACCAGCCCAAAAGAGTTCCTCGGCCATTGGTGCGGTACGTAAAATCGACAATATCATCGAAACCCCTGGCGATATTTGCTTGATAGGGACCTTCCATTTCAGAGTTGGTCACTGCAAGCGTGGGTCGCCCTTTTGGGTATGAGCTTGGGACTTGCATGATACATTGTAGTCTTTCAAGCTCAAAGGGGAAGTCTGGATCAGAAGGTACCAATCCAAAGGTCAAAGTAGTACCCTGAGCATCATTGACTTCCTGTGGACGGTAACGCCGTCTCAATTGGTTGATCTGGAACTCTCTTGGGTCTGACTGCTCCAATTTGGAAACTGGTCTTTGGGGCTGGACAGGGGCAGCGGCAGGGCTTTGCTTCGATTGGTTCTCGCCAATGTTCAATTTCTCGGTCCCAGTTACAATGGCTTGCGCCGGACTCCGGCTTCCATTTGCCGGAGATTGGGATGGTGTCTGCTGCTCAGATGAAGGCTGCTTAACGTCAATGGCCGAGACATCATGTAGATACGGACATGCTGTTCCAAGTCGGCATCCTTGAACAATGTTAGCATATGACCATCACCAAGAAAGCATGCGCAGAAGATTAGGGCATGGGTCGATCATGCAATACTGGTCATAACCTCGGTATCATTGACCCCTTTGGGTGAACATGGCAGACGCTGTGTACAAGCATTCCCGAAGGGGCCTGTTTGTGGCACCCCGTCCGTATTCAATGACGCGTCGATTATAGTAGTGACAAAATAGGCAAAGAGCCCTTACAGACAGAAACTCAGAACACAGACTTACCCTTTTTGGTTTTGAAAAAGCGACATTTCTGCCGCCGGGTCGAGGACTGGCGAGCACTCATTTCATCGGTGGATGCAACACCATGCGACCGGACCGCTGACAACTCATCAGTTGTCAAAGGGGATGGCAGCTCTGTACCTATTCAACAAAAGCATGATGAGCGTGTGATCGAAAAAGGTTGTGAGCGGCCGGCTCCGATCCAGACATATTGGCAGACCGGGGCCACCCTGCACGCCAACAAAGTCCTAGGAGATAACATGGGAATGGGTAGGTTTTTGTGGCGGATGCAACATGTGGTGCATGGACAATACGAAAGCCTATGGTCTGTGGTGGAGGGTCGACCCAGATAATCCGCCAAAGTAGATCTCAAGGAAATGATTGGGAGAAAAGGTTCCGGCGAGATGGCTTTTACTAGCCAATAATAGAATTATGCTTGACTCACCTTGGGCTTGGGGTGCTGGACCCGCATTGTCAAATGACCTATTCTCCATGCTGAAACTGAGCCTCGAGCCGTGTTTGCAAAAAAGATAATCCAGAATGGAATGGCCGGATTCTGGGCGACTTGGAGGTGACGCGCGCTGCCAACGCAGAGATCGGGTGACCTGGAGGAGATCGACAGGACCAGATCTGCGCAGTAAGTAAGCCGGGATGTGCGACCGTCTGAAATGTAGCTGGAGCGATCTTTGAAGTCACGACGCTAAGCAAAAATAAAAAAAGGCGGAAAACCCGTGAAGAGATACAACCACGTGACACGTAAAATGTCAAAATAGGCCACCAATATAAGTGTGATATATCTTAAGGTCTGAAGATATGAAGCTATACAAGAAGTTATATATACCTGGGTAGTTGTTTACGGTTTTGCAGTCGAATGCCAAGACTTCAGGCGGAACCGATGATGACATTCGCCTTCCTTTGACTCATTTTCAGTCATACATAGTTACCTAGGTAGTTAGTTACTAGTTAGTTAACTATAGAGTACTGTTAGTCACAATGAATCAATTTTTGAAGTGGATTGCAGGTTTCTAGTCAAAGATCACTAGAATGTTCGTGGGGGTTCAAATATGGAGTGCTTTGTAGGTCTCCCCTCATTAGTTGCCGATGTATGCGGACTCCCTGGGTTGCCTGGGAATACGGACAATCATTAATCCCGCTGCCGAAGGGTCATTCATATTCCCTTGATGGCATTTAAATGCCCACCTTACCTTTACCCGAGTATCTGGAAGGCTAGCAATGTTACCCTCCCTCATTATCACATCTCCTAACGCACCATCCCCTCCATGGATGACACAACCCAACAGATTCGTGAACGTATTGTTCGCCAAATTCAAGTGATTTTCTCTGAATCTCTGCCAGATGTCGGCTCAGGCACGATGCGAATGCGAATCATTGGTGATATCCCAAACAGTATTCTTGACCCCGAGATTATTTCAAATCCATACGTCCCTTTGTTTCTGAGACCGAGGAATACCTCCAGAGATCGCACCCGGATAATAAGACTCGTTTGGTCGCCGTCAAAATCTGCCGTGGGAAGCACTCCTATTTTATAATCGACCTCAACAATACCGATTATAACTATAAAACTGCTCATGAATGCAGAACATTGATCCCTGTCTATGTCCTTGGCCTAACGAAAAGACAACTCATAGTTGTCCGAAAACGATCATTGGATGAAACAATTGCTAAGGTTCTTAGGAACATGCACAATCTCCATGGTCAGGATCCTCTACCTTTATTTGATAACCATTATGACGAGAATCTTCAATACCCCAACCCACGCAACTTGCATATCGAGATTTGAGTTGGTTTCACGACTGTCTTTTGGAGGACGAAACTGTTTAATGTGGACAGATAACGGTATTATCATTACCGAAGCATTCTCTCGGTGGAGGTGAGATTATTGGACATATCTCTCTATAAGAGGTTATTATAAAGGCTAGCCTCTAGACGGCTATAGTTAGCTTATCGTTTACGTGGATATATCCTACCACGATTATAAGGACGGTAAGAGCACGGAAGCATTTGTCTTGTTTTACGCCGGTTGCCCTATTAGCTAGTCGTCCTAGAAGGAAGAACTAGTAGCACGAAGCAGTCCTTCGGTAGAGTATATCGTATTTGACGCCGGTATACGAGAGATAATATGGCTACTGAAGATACTTGCTACAACCTGCCCCTGGACTGGCAAGTTAAAAAAATAGGCCGAAAGACCATTATATCTGAGCATTACGCTCAGATTGTCCAGTCTCCGATATATATAGTGCATGACATGACAATACTCGAGCAACTTAGGATGAAGCAAGACCTTCCGATTACCTAACGCCTTCGCTATCATGACTTCCAACAATTACGCGAAGGGCATAAAGTGGATCGAAGCCTAGACATCACTTTATAAGATATGTAGTTCGTTAGGGGATCATTCGTTTCGAAGTGAGGATGCCTGGATTTTCAGTAAAGGCCACCTGAGGGTATCCACCTCCCAATACGGCTAGCACAAAGCGCTATAGCTGCCAGTCTGCCTCTGCCCCACATAAGAGCCTCACATCAACGCTCCTCCTCTCAACCTCGTAACCTATCCAAGAAACCCATCTCCAAAGCATCCAAATCAACTCCAATGTTGTTCTCATACTCAGCCTGGTTTCGTAAGGGCCCCGGCCCTGGAACTGTCATCACCCTTGACCAACCCGTCCCTTCTAGGTGGAAGATTCTTGAGAAGCTGAACGAGCATGACTATCAGGTTAACGAGGAGGAAAACGATGAGTATGGCTTCCGTTCTTTCGCCTCGGCTAAATATATATGCTGCGATCCCAGATCCCAGACCAAGAAAGCATTTATACGTATCTACATTCAAGTTCCCCATCGGAAGACTGAAATGGATGATGCGGATACTAGAAGCCGACAAGCCACAACTTACAACCCCCCCATAATTAATTGCCTACCTGGACCTCACTGAAAAGGGCTGGAGTAACACACCAAAACTTCTCGGATATAAGACCGATAAAAAGGATCGCTCGGGGCTAGTTCCGGGTGGGTTCATTATCTGGCTTGTGTGGGAGATCGTCCCAGGGTTGCGCCTCGGAGACGGCAATGGCGCTGACCCATTTTGGGCTCTTGAAAGCTACGAAAGGGAGCAGGTTCGCTTGGCTTTTCTTGAGGCTTTATCGTAAGTCGATGTTTCTTCTGTATTCGATACTGGATCTAGTCATTATCGACTATATAGTAAGCTGCATAAGAACTGGTGGTTCCCCCGTGTGGGCGGGGCAAGCAGCCTAGTTTGGCACCAGGAGACGCAAACACTGTACGTTATTGCTATATTATCCTAACGATAAGCTGACGAACTTACTAATTACTCCATATAGCTACTTCATCGCACCCTTTGACAAGGCCGGCAAGCCCGAACGCCCGATTATGTCCGGTGCCAACTGGATTGCGCATTTCGATCTCGCCAACCTCTACGGATGAACGTGGTAATGAGTAGGATAAAGATACCTCACGCTGACAATAATAGCCAAGGAGGAAGCAATAGAAGCAAGATTGTTTGTTTGTTCTCTTATTATGTTGAATTCGGTGACAAGTCTGTGGCCTTTAATAAGGGATCCGTCCACTTCTGGTTCCGTATGTCCGTACTAGTGTCAAAACTCGAGTCCGTGAGGGCTAATAATCCAACATGGTAGAGACTCTGACAAAATGACACTGTCCAGCCTGAAGTCCTTCCTCTGTCACTATGGTGAATCACCGGAGAATACTCCAGTCCTCAAGTTCGACCGACTTCCTCCTTTCGAAGAAAAATTGTATGCTCATGGGTGGTCAAGAACCCATACTTCAAGCGTGAGTCGAACTTATATTCCGCAATTTGGCCTATATATACGTGTTAGTATATATTTATCCCTATCAATAGCTCATAAGACTAACCTAGTACGTGCCGGAAATGATCTTGCTTCGCTCCAGACTCAAACTCAGTGACCAACTTCTTGAGGTTGTGCTCGCGTATCCAGGGAACCTTGACTTCTCCCCAAGATTTGCTTCGTAAGTTGAGGAGTTGAGGCCATAAGCACAAAGCCAGGGGCCTTTTTGTATTCTGGATACGGCAGCAAAGCACCCTTAGAGGCACCTGGCATGAGATCATGGTTCTAGGCCCCGAAGACAGCTCCTAGAGCTATTCCTGCTCGTCCCTCGAGTCTGCCTTGCATACCGCGCTCGTCACCCACGAAATCTTGCTCTTCGTGGACTGAACCGGCGAGGGATTTGGCTGTCAATCTAGACGCTATTTTGGGGCGGGTTCCATGTCTGGCTGTTGTTGGAGTTCGCGACTTCTGTTTTGAAGTCGGTCCACTGCCCAAGAGCTTCGACGAACTTGATCTGGTGCAACGCGTGTAGGGGGATTAAATATGCCACCGGCACATAACTCTGTCATTGGTTATTACCTACAACAGTCTACCCTATAAATATTCACCCACCCCTAAACTAGCGGCCAAGAGATCTGCCTATTGTATTGAACATGTATAGCTATGATTTTGAATTCTTCTATAATTCAATTCAGATTCACTTCAGACTCACTTCAGATTCAATTTACTTTAGAAGTTCCCATGCCTATTTTGAAGGCATTAATTTTATATGTAGGTATTCAGGCATCTTTAAGGATCGGCAGGCTTCAATTGATAACTACAACATACAACATTGGTTTTTGTAAAGTGAGAGTAGATCTAAATTGCTGCTGGCAATATGAAACAATGACAGAATTATGTGCCGGTGGCATACTTAGTCGCCCGTACGCGTGGCTGACAGTGCGACGAGCGGGAATGTCGAGATTAGGGAGAGGTTCGAGTAAGAGGCCGGACGCGCTATGCGTGACTGAGACTGCCTCAATCCTGGCTTCGATGCTCAGGCAATGGGCAAGGCCCGAGAAGTTTTGAAGAACTTCACCGAGTTCCAAGCCTACTGTTACATTCTTATCCCTAATCTTAGTTTGCTATGGTTTAGTTTAGTTGACCACGCCTGCCAACGGTCAGCTGACCAGTCAGCTGACCAGCTGGGAGGGGTAGGCGGCAGTTAGTTGCCATTAGAAAGAATCAACTCTTTTATCTCCCAAAATCCGCCATACTGCGTAACACCTACATCAAGCATATCAAGGAAGTTGAAGGAACCCAGCACAAGCGCCGTGGATCGGGACACGGGTGCTTTTCTCCTTGTGAGAGAGTCCCAGAAACAGATCCCACTGGAGCCAGTCGGGAAGCTCGAATCTGATTCTGTTGACATGCAATAATCGCTCACCGAACCACGCAAAAAGCGCAAACTTTCACCGTCCGGACAGCACAGTAAGGCCTCGGAATCTGATGCTGAAGCGGCCGATAGTTCTTCGTCAACATACAGCGAGGTGTCGGCTGCTTGCGACTCCGAAATTACACCCGGGCCAACCAAAGACGAGCAACTTGTCAACGACGCTCTGCTGCTGTTCCTGAGGGCTCTCTTGGTTTATCAACCTGAGTTAAAATGCCAATGGACAGCGCACCGCTCGCCATTTTCTACTGCAGTTTTTGGCAGGAACCAGATGAATGCGCGTACAGACGGCTATTTGGAAGCAAATGGCGAGGTCTTCGCTATCATCGAGGTTAAGCCAAACATTCGGGCCCCAAGTGTACGCCCGGAACTTTTATGGCAAGAGACAGGCGAGATGATTGCGTGGATCATTGTAGAGTGATTGTTGATAAAGTGGGAGCTTGAAGCCTGATAGTGAAGTATTGATCGGGAGCTTGTTGAAAATAAGAAAGCTAGCAGTATCAGAGCGAGGTGCAACGGTGAAGCTCTGTTGTTGATCGTGCACTCGACGGTGCCTTCCTAATTAAGAATTTGTAGACTCCAGCGTACAGCGCCGCATATTGTACCTAAGCATAAACCTAGCGAATATAGTGCCGCTGAATTTACTGCGGTTTATCTCGAATTCAGGATATTATAGACATTATTGATAAAGACTTTCAATTTCTTTTGTACACAGAATCTTGCTTTTCGTTGACCGAACTAGCGAGGAAGTGACTATCAATCTGGATTCTGGGCGCTATATCCCGCGGGTTAGCTAGTCTGTAATTGATCATTCAAGATTTGTTTATACCCTTTGCCTCATGAGTTTACGCGCTGGACGTGCTTGTGTATGTACACATATCAATGGAAGACACGCTTATTTGGCTACGCCGTGTCCACTGCGCTGCTAGGTGAAAAGACCACGATTCTCCCTCCAAAAGCCACGCACAATCGTGGCCTTTTCATCGTCACCCCTAGTTAGTTAGTTAGTTAATTACTCCGTACAATGTACAGATTCCGACTCAACAAGATCAGTAATAATCACCAGTGCACCTAGACAGGGTCCTCTAGAGCTTACATTTAATATCATTTCAAATATAGCGTTCGTCATTGCACGTCCAATTCCGAACGCAATGCTGTGGCGTTCATGTTTCAAAGCACACAATCTGCTCCAAACCACAACAGGAAGCCAAAACCCAACCAAGCACCGGCAATAATTGGCAATAATCTACCTGCACATCACCATTGCATACAAAAAGCATAAAACCAAAAAGCCACCAGAAAAAAAAAAAGAAAACCAGGAGGGAAACAGGATCCCGAATTCCAGTCTGCCAACAGAGCATATACTACATGGAGCGCGGCATGCGCCTTATCTCCCACATCCATGCCGGGGGATATCCCCTTTAACAAGGGTCCAAACCCGGCCAGTGAGGCCATGTTAATATAAGAGAAAAGGTAAACCTTCACCGAGAGAGGAATACGACCCGACCGGGCGCAACAAGCCTGCAATAATATACAACATACCCTACGGTCACCAGTCACGGGCGGCGGTCTCCGCGTTGCGCAGAGAAGATGAGGGGGTTCGCTTTGCAGTTTCTAGAACTCCATCCCTGCGTGATGGGTGCGCCTTCGCCGGGGGGTAATGCGTTTAGCTTGGATGCAATACCGATCCACTAGCCATAATGGCTATCTTGGTTTTCTTTTTCGAGGGTGGAGATGGCTTGAGTGTGTACGATATATAACATATGTTGTAGTCATACTTCGAACTCTACCGCTCTTTCATGACACATATCGGGTGGGTTTTAGTTGTTTACCCCGACAATTAAAGGCATTGGGGGTAACGTACGGAGCAAAAATCAGGTAAGAGAAAAGAAAGAACAAGGGAGTAGATTCTCAAGACCGGAAATTGAATGGTGCGACAAAGAACATGTACATACTATGTTGTACAGATACAGAGAGAATTCACACCTCAATAGAGAAGAAACCCTCATATCCTACACAATAGGTGTGGCCTATAACTAACATGATTGAAGGAAACGGGGTTGGCGAGGCTATCCCGAGGTCACTTGCACATACAGTGGGACGTCTAATGTTGTACTCCGTGCATAAACCCTGTCTGTGGCTGCCGCTAGTCGACACCGGTATTTAGCCCAAGCCCTCGGGGAGTTACAAAATATACATGCGTTTTAGATATAACATTCCACATGGCTGTGTTTAGGTTATTTAGGATCTATCAACTGAGGCTGTAGTGTCAAAATTAGAGCTGTTCTAAAAGAAACATGTCAAATGTCCGATAACAACTATACAACCGAAGAAACTCCGCACCAGGGTACAAGGGTAATGAAAGTACTGAATTGAGCCTCGGTCAATGGTATTGTAAGAAAGACCTTGGTATGGGAGCTCCGCTCCGCGGTACTGAGGTTTCCGCTGTATGTGGTAATGTAAGGGCCAAATACAATACAGTAAGTAAAACACCGAAAGGGGAAAAGCGCAAATCGGACCTGGAAATCACCGGCCAACCGGATCATCCTTCCAGAAGCCTTCCAGAATCTCGCACGGTCTTCCATGGGTATTGGCGCATTTGACCATGGGCATAGCTTGCAGTTTTTCGGGTTGGAGCATATGTCGGCATTTGTATAGATATTCCATTTACCCGATGGTATATGTACTTAACTTTTACTACAGCCAAGATTATTGAATCTACTCCATAATATGACGGCAATTGAGGATATTGGCATCTTGCGGGGTTTCGGAGGACAGAGCTCCTGGGAAAGATGATACACGTGACCTTAATACACCAGAGGGCCTAGAATTATGGTCTGGCCAATCACAGGCAATATGATTGGGTTGGGATTTGCGGGTTCAGTGTCACTGAGCGTTTCCTTTTTCGGTCAAAGCAAAACGGGTTTACGTCCAGGCGGGGGCCAATCCCGAGCGCCTCCTTCGGGACTTCGCCGAATATTAATAATAGTCGGTGATGTAGTACTTCATTCGGAACAGCCACGGAACGTGGGATGTCATGCATACTGGCAAATTTCTGAAGTGAGTTGAGAGAGTAGATGTCGTCGTGCAGGACTGTTACTGAAACGACTGAAATTGCCCCTGAATGGAATGAGTACTTTATATGTATCATGAAATCAGTTATTTAAGTGGCCCCAGTCTAAAACACCTCTGCGCCGGAATAAAGATCGGCTCTGTTCTAGAGCTCGAGAGGCCTAGACAGGGATGGTATGGGTCATGGTTGGCCGATCAATTTGTAGTGGAGGACGATCAAAAAGAAATCAACGAAGATTCTTGTGCGTCGAGTATTCGCCTCAATCTCAAATAGCCTAGACAAAGTTACCGAAGCTGCATGCAAAGCGTGTCGATATTCGAACGCCGAAAACACCCTCGATCTCCAGCTCAAGGGTGCGATATCCTCACATCCTCGCATGTAGTAGCTTTTGTTGAGGAGCTGCACGCTGTATGCTGCATCGGCATGCCGATTTCACGTCCGGCGCACACCAACCCGAACCCGATGAACCAGTTAGGCGTCAGTTAGGCGTCAATTGTGTGGGAAAAAGGCTATCCACTTTTGCTTCACAACGCCTCTGCCTAACAGCCCTGGCCATGGAGTGGTCCGTGGAGGTTAGTAAGCGATACACCGTACCTACCTAGGACAGTGTGAAGTCCCAAAAAGGCAATGCGGAGCCGAAGCTGTTACAAGTGTACTCCGTGTTCCGTACAGCATCAGTTAGAAACATTTCAGTACCGGTGAGACGCGAGAAAAACGAGACAGCGAATCATGTCCGTCCCTGATTGTGAGTGATCCACTGCAATATCCACTTTTCTGGCCTGTATGAAGCTGAGATCAAGAAGACTCTTCTGGCCGGGGGAGAGGAGAGTTAGCCCTAACTGGACAAGTGGATTCTGGAGATGGAATGTGCACACAATATTCTCCGTATTCTCTGTAGATAATTGAGGAATGGCTCTAGAGGCTCTTGTCTCACATTCGCCGTTTCACTAACTGTCATTGGGTCAGAACGGAAGAAAGAGGTTTATGATATAAAAGTATACGATCTGGCTTTTATTGTGCCAAGGTTGGTTTTGCTCGGTGAGCGTGTACAACATATATGTTGTACTCAATTTGACATGAGGTCTGTTATATCCATGTTATTGGCTTCGTTGGATCTCGGATCTTTATTTCTCGAGCATTGAATCGGTTTTCATTGGAGCCCCACGGCTCGGGTATGACCGGCGAGACTGGAAGTTTTGCTAGAATGGAGATGATGTCGGGTGTTTCAGGAGGAAAAAGTCTTCATCCCCACACCCGTTCAAAGTTGGAGAGAAGGTTGTGCATACGTCATTCTCTGAGACACTGCGGACCCGGGGAAGACCATCTTAACCTATATTAGTTCGATCGCGTGTCTACCGGTATTGTTCAAAGACGAGATGAGACGCGAGAAAGGTGTCGAAGGAAGAGAGGAGCAGAGAATAAAGAAATGGATATCGGGCATCGAAATTCAGGGGCTCCACCCCCGGATCATGTGCGCCGGTCATGTGCAGCTGCCACATGACTACTGTGGACACACCCGACAGACCATAGTAAGAGGCGATGTACTTCGTATACTCCGCAAGCGTTCTTCTATTGGGATTGCACACAACTCTGACACATTGATGAAAATAAGCACAACTCCAACCGAGGAGGCATATGGAAAACGCAATTAATGGCGGTAATGACATCAACGTGATACAAATCCTTCAGTGCAGGCACATCCTTCAGGCAAGCCACCATTAAGACATGGCAAAATGTAAGCAAAGGCAAAAAACTATGATGAAAACACGCATAACCCATGCCGGATCCATGTACCTAGGTAAATAACAATTACAATCACAATCACTCATAGTGTCATGTCATAATGAGGCCCTCCAACGGAACAACATCCCTTGGGAATACCTAACTAGCTAAATCGTAGTTTGTACATCGAACAAAGTACCATAGCACAACCCGGAGTTCAAATAAGCCCCAAGATCTAACTAAGATCAAGGAAGTTACATCTCCAAAAGTACCCGGCCTAGAACACACACTGCCAGCCACGCAGCACGACCCCAGTCCAATCACCCTGACACCCCTCAAATAATCCCACGCGTCCCCCGAGATCTCCGATGAGCTGACCATGCAGGGCGAGAAAGCCACCGCGAACTGAGCACGTTATCTCGTCGAGTGGATTTACAAGCTCATCACCCCTCCCGAATTCCCCGGGAGCTTTGGCATAAACTAATGTAAAGAGGACATAGCTTCTTGTCGCATGTGCCAGCGACCAGTGCGAAGCCGAATAAAGAAGATGGCACCGAGGAGTATCTCACCGGTCGATCGGGTCGGTTTTGGAAAAGCCCATGTAAACTCTCTTCAAAGACTCCGGG